GTGATTCTACAGGGACACTACAGCTCCAGCAGGCAGAGCTGGGGGAGAGATGCATGTCTCATGGCTGGGACAGGTCCAGGCTTGTCTGTCCCTTGTGCTCCCCATCCAGGAATGTAGCAAACTGTGCACTTTTTCCTCGCTCCCTCATGAAGTGGGGGGAGGAGGGGGAGGGGAAAGAGGAGGCGGAGGGAAGAGCCGGCCACTGGAAGCAGCACTGGACAGGGGAATCGGGGCGGGCGTTGGAGATTTGGGGCGGCGGGGCAGTCAGCGGAAGCAGAGCTGGCCAGTGGGCAGGGGGCTGGCCGGGAGATTGGGAGGAGGAGTAGGGGAGAAGTGGCTGCCGGAAGCAGGGCTTGCCTGGGGCGTTGGAGCTGGCCGGGAAAGATTGGGGGGGCTGGCGGAAGCAGGGCTGCTGGGGGGCATGAGGTTGGGGGTAGGGAGCTGGCCGGAGAATATGGGGGGAGAGGGGAGAGAGAAGCAGCAGCCGGAAGCAAGGCTGGACGCGGGCAGCGGGGCTGGCCAAAGGCGCAGTGGGGGGTGAGGGAGCAGGACTGACCCGGCCATATGTAGATCTCAGGGCGCTGCCCTCCCTCCCCACAAAGCACGAGTGAGTCCGGCCTAGGGATTCTATTGTGCCCTCCCCCCCCACCCTCTCGAGTAGTTGCGAACTGGCTGGCTGGTAGACACACTCATGCAGCCTGAGCACATTTACCAGCCAGGCAGTTCGAAACTACAAACTGACACGTCTAGTAATAATAAAACGTACCTAATGAGAAAATACCAGACATGTTATATGTCTGGTATTTTCTCAGTTTGTGTTTTATGTGTTTATATTTTTGGGCTGCAAAAAACAGTACTGAAAAAAAAGGGTTCCAACTAAAGTAAAAAGTTTGGGAAACTCTGGTCTAATCAGCTTTCTGTCTGTCTTACAGTCCATTTATCCAATCCATATTCTTTAACTTGATGGCAAGAATATTCTGGGTGACCATATCAAAAGCTTTGCTAAAACTGGCACTGGGGGCTTTGGGAGGACCAGAAACAACTTATTTGAATATTCATCATTTGATTAATGAATATGCAAACATGCAAATGAATGTTACTGGTCCTCCTAAAGTTCGTGAATGGATTTACTGGTCCCCGTGTCAAAAAGTTTGGGAACCCCCGCTTTAAGCAATGATAACAGGAAGCTTTCTACCTAATTTGGTGGTTCTAGCTCTTACTGTTTAGGAAGAGCTCTTTTTAGGAATTCTTGAACAGACAGACTCACTCCCAGACAAACTCCCCCAAAAATATAGCTGATAACAAGTAATTTATATATAGCATTTTCATTAGTTACAAATACTGTAATGAATAATCTTTCTCTTTCAAATAGTACTACATTAAAACACACACATGATTAATGTGCATGAGCAGGTCTACCGCAATCAATTAATGTGCAACACTTTAGTGCGCTTTAGAAATCACACCCTCATAGTCTGCATTACTGCTTCAAATAAACAAGCCCTGAGGTACAAATAACCATTTCCAGGGTTTTTCTGCTGTTTGTTGAATAAAAACTGATTTAATTTTATTTATTTATTTTTACCTGAGGTGTTTTCTCAGTGTTTATTAGTTAAAAATCTAAAATCGGAAGCTAAGTTATACTGCACTCTTTAAAGGGCTCTCAATTGTCATCCATCAACTTTGTCAATTTCTGCAGGAAACAAACTCTCACTCTTTCACTATTATGTATCAAAATAAATTTCTCTATTACTACTTATACTTGGGTTCCTGAATCTCTCCCTTATTCTATAGTGGGGCAATTTTCCAACCCATGACTGAATTTGTGGATTGACAAGTGCAGCTATCTAGTTCCCTTCTCCACTATTATCTTATGAATGATATTGACTTGTTTCCTTAGGGGCTGATTCTGCACACAAGAGGACCTTTGTGTTCATATAGATCCAACTTCAAGAGGGAGACCATTTGTATTTAAATATTTACAATGCACCTCTTTATGCATCAGTGCCTATCCATTACAAGTGCCCATGGGCATCAAGCAGAGGGAGAGAAGCAGATCTGTCAGGAAAATGGAATTTCCCTCTTGAGGAGAATGCTGCCATTTTGAAACATCCTTTCATCCCAAATCAGAAAAAAAGTCAAAATTTCAAAATAAAAATTCTGAAATGGCCTTGTCCGTGTGGCTGTCTTGGGTCCTATAAGAAAGAAGAGGTCCAGCCCACCCGCATCTTAGGCCACATCTATAGTTATCCATGGATTGATGCTCTGGAGGTTGATCTTCTGTATTCAATTTAGTGGATCTAATACAGACCCTCTAAATTAAATGCTGAGTTGCTCCCAATGACACCAGATGGTACTCCAACTCATCATGAGGAGTAAGGGAAGTCAATGGGAGCATTTCTCCTGTCGACCTCCTGGTGTGGGGATGGCATCAAAGTTTGAATTCAGGTATGTTGACTCCAGCTATACAATCAATGTAGCTGGAGTTGTGTATCTTAATTTAAACTTATCTGCTAGTGTAGATCTGGCCCCATTAGCTAACTGTGGATAGGGCCAGATAGAGGGCAGCTGGCCCTGATAAAGAGCCAGAGGGGAAGAGGAGACAGAGAGTGGAAGCTGTGGCAGATTGCAGACGACAGGAGGCTCCTTTCAGAGACCATCCTTGACCAAGTGGAAGGTTTGAGCTTGGAAGCCAGAGTGATAGAGTTGATGACAGAATAGATTCCAGGGAAGGAGATCAAATCTCCAAGCAGGTGGTGCTGAGAATGGCTTGGCAAAGCAAGGAAGAGCTGCAAAGAACTGAATTCATTCAAAATGGAAGAGGAAAGAAGTCTGACAACAGAATTCTGAGCTCAGTTTTATGTCAGTGTTAGATCCTGGGAGAAGGGATGATGATGTTGGACCAAAGGTATGCATGGAGTTTATTAAGAAGCCCTGAAGAGGAGGCATCATGCTGGAGAGGAAGCCCAGGCCACTAGGAGGTGCATGGGAACTGGCTTCCCTAGTAACAAACCTAATTGAAAGTTTTTATTTTGACTTTATCAATTTGACTTTGGTTATGCAGGTTGAACATCTCTAGTCCAACACTCGAAGGACCTGTCCGATGCTGAACCAGAGAATTTGTGGAACCATAGGAAATCAATATTGTCTAGAAAGATTACCAACACTTCCACTACGTACTGGGTTCTTAGAAGACATTTAGGGGTAAATTAGAGCTAAATAACAGCACAGAACACCGAAAGCCAGGACTGTTGGCTGTAAACAAACTTTTATCAGACTGTGGGAAATTTGGCCACACACAATAAATGGACATCCAGCTAACTAAAATCATGCCAGACCACAGCTGTTGCTGGACCAGAGAGTGCTGGATTAGTGAGTTTCCACTTGTATTATAATTAAAGTAAAAGTCATAACATTTTGACTACATTATACATAAGCTGACATGAAACATTTTGAATATTTCAGCTAAATATATATGTTCCTGTAAAACATTCTGATTTTGTCAAATCAGTTTCCATCAGAATACTGTTCCACCAGATAATTTTTTTGTCCCTCGCTCGTGTGAAGGCAGCAGTGTTCAGGGCAACAGAAGTGACAATTTCAAGATTGTTAGCAAGCTAATGTCGTTCTTACACACAAAAGCAAAATGTTTCCAGGCTGCACAGATGCTGTGCACAGACAGGAATTTCTGCTTTGTTGGCACAGTTGAGCAATACTTAATGGTTTATGTGCAATGCTGGATTCTCAGAGTGCCCATTGTCTTTGCTGCAGAATCAGACCACAGTGAAGAAGGTTCAAAGAGCATTAAAAACTCTTCCTTATTTAACTATTTACTAAATGTTATTTACTCAACTTTAATGTGATATCTAAAAACCAAACAGATTTCCTATCTGTCCTCTTGATAATGCTTTAGATTATTAACACAAAAATGATTAAAAAAGAACTCACTTTTCAGTATTTATTCTGTAAGTATTTCTCTCAGCAAGGACAAAGATGTTCAGTTTCACGTGTTTCAAAAATCTATGCATTTCATTTTCAGATTTTTACACAAAAGCAAACTGGTGCAAAATATTAATTATAGGCAAGGTATTGGACCTTTCTTTAACATGTTTTGCTATTTTCTAAAGCTGTTTTTGCTGGAAGAGAAGAGAGACACTGGAAGCATTCTTATTGATCTTGGGTTTTATAAAATATGACCTGACAGAATACTTTGAAGGAACTTATTACCAGGTGGTATTTTAATAAATGAATACCATTTATATAGTGCATTTAGTGCTAAAGAATTATTTCCATATTCTACCTATACACAAGTCACTTACTACACCATTGGAATACAGCCACCTTTCAATTGTAGAATGGGAGAGCCAGGAGTGCATTCCTCTTGATATCTCAGGAATCCCCCTGCTGGCACACAGGCAGTGGGGCAGAGGAAGCCAGCTGACTCAAATACCGCGGTAGCAAACATCTGATCAGGATGAAGGAAAAGGAGTATACTGGGGAGCAAGGAACCTGGTGAGACTGAAACTGGGCAGTAAGAAATTGTGTCTGGGAGTTGTGCGTTTGGGGGGACTGACTGAAAATAGGGACCGGAACTGGTAACTCAAGTGGGGAGGCTGGGACTGGTTCAGGACGAAGTCCAGGATTGGATGCCTTTAGGGAGACTAACGCTGGAAGCTTGTGAGGAAAAAGGTTTGGAGAAGGGAGGGAGAGAAGATCACTGAGCACCAGGATACTAAGGCCAAAATCTTCTTACAAAAATTGCTATGATACATTTAACATCCATAGAGAGCAGGCAAGACCTTAGCTGCTAACACTTCATCCAAATAACCCCACAAAGTAAATTGTATGGAACTTAGGTTATCTACCTTGAAATGAAACAAATCCCCTTGCTGGGATTTGAATTCGTAGCTTCAGGAAAAGTAGGTATTTTAAACCTGAGCCTCAGACCCGTAAAAATGGAAACGTAAATAGCAAACTTGTGTATATATAGCTGTACCTACATTTGCCTGAGATTCGTCATGGTCGTTGATCTCGGCTAACTCCTTGGCACTTTTTAACTGCAAAGTGCAAAGAAAGCAAGAAAACAAAAAACAACAGAAACAAAATTAAAAAAGAAAACTCAAACCAACAACAACAACAACATGTTACTTGAGAATTTCACACAGTTATCTTTGATTTATTTGAAGCAGCATTTTAAAAAGCTTCCAATGAGAAAAACAGATGGAGCATATAATTCTAATGAGTTTTTGCTCAGGCCATTTTGAAACCAACATATTTAAGGCTTGATAGGTTTAGGCAGAGGTGGGGAGGGGGAAGGAAAATAATAAGACTGGATCATTATTTTTTAAATAATAAGATTAGAAAACAGTTTCAAGGCATAAAAAGTGCACAAAATAGGTTCTCAGGAATAATAAATGATTACATTTCCCATTCTTGTTGCTATTAATTTAAACTATGCAGTGTTTGCAAGTTGCCATGAGCTAAATAGTGTTTGCTAATGATTACTTTTGAATGATATATTCTGAGCTGTTTAAAATGTCATATATTTCTTTCTTGAAGAAGTATTCAGATAACTGATAGGGCGCTTGAGTATGATGCAGGAGGAAGACATGTGGAGTTCATTTGTTAAACTATTGGGAAGAAGAATAGGGAAGACACTGTCAATTTTACCCCAGATGATCAGAAGATTTAAGAAATTACCTAATGACATTTTGAGCCAAAATTTCAAAAATATGTGTACATCCAATCTATGCATGAATCCGTACAAATAGGTATGCACCACTACAACCCTCACATGCCTGCATAAACTGGGGATTTAAGAGCTTCAGAGGGGTAGCTGAGTTAGTCTGTAACAGTGCATTTACACTTAGGTATGTGCATTGCAAAAAAAATTAGGCCTTTATTCTAACCTATTCAAAATACCTATTTAAGAGTGGGGAAGCAAACAGCTCTTTCTGCAGTATGCATTTATTTCCACCTGTTTTTACTAAGGAATTATCAGTTGTATCAGAGTTCTCTTTTCTGCCTAACACAATTGCTTTATTGTGTGAGAACAATCGTTAACATTTTGGTTAAAAAAATGGACATCTCTCTGTTTGATTCAGAACAACTACATCAGTCCCATGCATTCTGTATGAATGTAGCACCACTTCCTGAAACGG